GAGTATCTTAGTATCGAGTTTAACGACTATCTGAAAGAATGTGGGATAGTCTCACAATTGACTCCTCCTAGGACACCACAGTTAAATGGTGTAGCTGAGAGGCGCAATCGAACCTTGTTAGACATGGTTCGTTCTATGATGAGTCGGGCTTCGCTTCCCATTCACTTCTGGGGGTATGCCTTAGAGACAGCCGCCCACATCCTCAATCTTGTCCCTACAAAGAAGGTTGCCAAAACACCTCACGAAATGTGGACAGGGAAAGTTCCCTCGTTAGCACATATTAAAGTCTGGGGTTGTGAAGCTTTCGTAAGACGAGAGACTCACGACAAGCTAGCAGCTAGAAGTGAGAAATGTGTTTTCATTGGTTACCCAAAGCAGTCTTTTGGATATTTGTTCTACAGGCCTAGTGAGAACGTGGTCTTTGTAGCACGAAGAGGAGTCTTTCTTGAAAGAGAGCTCATATTCAAAGAGGACAGTGGGAGCACTATTGACCTTGAAGAAATTCAAGAGTCAGCCAATGAAGGAACCTTAGATGACACTAGCACTCAACCAGAGGAAACAGTTCCTGTTGAACCAATTGATAACTCATTACCTCTTAGAAGATCCACTAGGGTGAGTGTGCCACCTGAGTTGTATGGTTTTCATATTACTTCAGATGGTGACACATTCATAAGTGACAGAACACTGGTAAACTTAGATGAACCAGTCACTTATAAGGAAGCAATGGCAGGCCCAGAGGCTTCCAAGTGGAAAGAGGCAATGGACAGCGAGATTAAGTCCATGTATGACAACCAAGTTTGGAATTTGGTTGATAGTGCACCAGGTCGCAAGACAGTTGGGTGCAAATGGATCTTCAAGAAGAAGACAGACATGGATGGAAATGTGCACACATTCAAGGCTCGACTGGTTGCAAAAGGTTTCACTCAAACCCCAGGGGTTGACTATGATGAAACCTTCTCGCCAGTGGCTAAGATTAAATCTATTAGGATATTGTTCGCCATAGCTGCCTTTCATGATTATGAAATCTGGCAGATGGATGTCAAAACTGCTTTCCTTAATGGGAAGTTGGCTGAAGATGTTTACATGAGTCAGCCAGAGGGTTTTGTTGATGCAAAGTTCCCTAATAGAGTGTGCAAGCTTGAGAAATCCATTTATGGATTGAAACAAGCATCTCGCAGTTGGAATCTTTGCTTCCATGAGAAAGTCAAAGAGTTTGGTTTCTCTAGAAGTGAAGATGAGTTTTGTGTGTATATCAAGCTAGTGGGAGTATAGTAACTTTTCTGGTGTTGTATGTCGATGACATATTACTCATTGGTAACGACGTTCCAACCTTGAAAGAAGTTAAGTCTTGGCTTGGAAAGTGTTTTGCCATGAAAGACCTTGGAGAAGCTGCCTATATTCTTGGGATTAGAATATTGAGAGATAGAAAGAAGAGACTAATTGGACTTAGTCAGAGCACATACTTGGATAAGGTACTAAAGAGGTTTAGTATGGAAAATTCCAAGAAGGGAGAGCTACCTATCCAGAGCAATACCAAATTGAGTAAGACTCAATGCCCGAGTACAGATGTTGAAATAGATGACATGAGTCGTGTACCTTATGCTTCCGCTGTCGGATCGATCATGTACGCTATGACATGTACTCGCCCTGATGTGGCATTTGCTTTGAGCATGGTCAGTCGCTATCAGGGAACCCAGGTAGAGCTCATTGGATAGCAGTTAAGAATATACTCAAGTATTTGCGAAGGACAAAGGACTGGGTCCTTGTGCTTGGTGGCAGTGATACTTTGAGAGTAGATGGTTACAGTGATGCCAGCTTTCAGACGGATAGAGATAACTTCCGTTCTCAGTCGGGCTGGGTGTTTTTACTGAATGGAGGAGCAGTTACTTGGAAGAGTTCCAAGCAAAATACGGTGGCTGATTCTACTTGTGAATCAGAGTACATAGCAGCAAGTGAAGCGTCGAAAGAAGCAGCTTGGTTGAGGAACTTCATCGGGGATCTCGGAGTTGTTCCAACCATCCAGGAGCCTATGGAACTGTTCTGCGATAATGAAGGAGCGGTTGCCTTGACAAAGGAACCGAGAGATCATGGTAAGACCAGACATATCGACAGAAAGTACCATTTCATCAGACATAGAGTTGAAGAAGGCCATCTTATAGTAAAGAGGGTGTCATCTGAAGATAACCCAGCAGATCCCTCACAAAGGGTCTGAGTAGGGCTAAGCATATTCAGCATGCTCGGAGCATAGGACTGAAAGATGATATTAGTTTTAGTAGTTAGATTAGTTTTGAAACTTGTAACAAAGTAAATGTAATTGACTTTTGGTGATTAAATAATAAAGTATTATTTATAAGTTTGGCTACTACCTTTTGTCAATTGTTTATTATTGTGTTTCATTTTTGCATGTTTTACTTCCTGAATAATGAGATTATTCAAACTCCACAGTCGCTCGTACTCTTGGAAGTAAGTAGTGAATTAAGACTGTCATGAATTGGATTGCAGATTGTCTAAGGATAGACATGGCAATAGAATTGCTGCAATGTTCATGAGTACTCAGAATTGAGATTTGAGTATTGGATAAACCCTCGCTCAGAGTATTACTTCATGGAATTCATCACGAGTAATACTGAGACGATAATATCTTATAATCTTGAAACGAAGATATATGAGTTGTAATTTACAAGTCGGTTGTGCATTGGTGATACGAAAACGCATCAGTAACTTGGTGTTATAAAACGTATTGTCATGCATAATTTGATGAGTAAAAGATACAAGCATATGAGTCAACGTTTATTCGTTCCTTTTGCCCTAACAGGAAAAGCGATATCTGTGGGCCCCTCGATGATTTGGTGTTGACTTATGTGCTGGGCCCAGCCAGGACTAAATTGATGTGTTCGATTAGAAGTCCTACATCATCACAAATCAGGAATCGGGAAACATAGATTCTGGACAAACAGATTGATTACATTCCATGTCTTTTGTCTGGGGATATCAAGCAGAACGAAGGGTTATATGATCACTTATCTTAGGACACGTAACTGACTGGGTCAGAGTTCGGCAGCAGCTTTTGGAAGCTACAATTTGCTGGTCAAATTTAGAAGGCATACTAGCAATTATAGTTACAGACTTATCCAAGTGGGAGACTGTTGGATTAGGTGTCTAAGCCCATAACTATAATTGGTATGTACTTGAATTGATAGCAGCACAGTCCTTTTGGGTTGCCCTCAACCTAGCAACTGGACAAGGAAATTATGAAAGGAGAGATATTAATAAGATTAATAAATTAATATAAATGATTTATTAATATGTTAATGGATTAATATATTAATTAGAAATCATTATGTTTAATTAATTGTTAGCCAGAAATTAATCAGAATTAATTTTGGGGTTAAAAGAATTAATTATAAAGTGCAGGGACTAGTTTGCAATTACTAATAGTTGAGTGGAAGGTTCCAGAACCCCCTTGGAAGGGGGTGGACGAAACCCTAGGGGAAACCCTAGAGAATTTCGTCCAAGGGTCCAAGATAAGGCCTTGGGTCTTGCTTAGGCCCTAAGCAAAGGATAACTAGGGTTTCCCTAAACCCTAGTTCCCTCAACTATTTAAGGAGCCTCCTGGCTCACATTTTGGGTACTCTTTCTTTTGAAGAAACCCTAAGGCCGAATTTTGCATACTCCCTCTCCTCTCTCTCTCTCTTCTACTTTCCTTCTTGCTAGTTTGGGTGTGACTCCATTAGAGGCATTACACTTGTGGTGCTAAAGCTTCCAAGAAGATCAAGATCAAGATCAAGGGATATCAATTGTTTGCTATAACAATTGAAAGGTATGTAAACCCTAAACCCTAGTTTGTTAATTTCGAAATTAGCCTCTCTCCTCTAGGGTTCTTGTTTTGCAATTCAAAGTTGTATGTTCAATAGTTAAAACATAGATCCAAAGTAGGTTGCATGTGAACTTAGGAATTGTTTTCTAGTTTATTTGTTTTACCCAAACCCATCAGCTAGGTCAGGGGTACAATGGTCCTTTGTAAAACCTAAGTGTTGGATTTATGGTTATGCATCAAACCCAGATTGGTTTAATTGGGTGTTGTTTTGATGTTACAGTCCGGGTAGCTGTCACCCAACAGCTAGAGATTTATCTGCGGGACTTCAGCAGTTGGATTGAGTTTTTCCTCCTCCTCACTGGGTTATAGCCGGGTCGAAGCACCAATGTCGGCCATGTTATATGCTATGTAGTATGCTAACTGTCTTCGTGACTCTGGCATGTGTATGTTTT